TAAGTATTTATTCATTTTAAAAAGGTAACTATTCATGAAGAAATACATTTCCAAAAGACATGACATTTCTTTTGGGGTATCTGAACGTTATAAATAATAGTGTCCAGATAATAGAGGCCTCACTTTTACTTCTGATTTTACTATTCTTCTATTTCGTTCAAAACAATATTCTCTAAACTGTTTTTGGGAGAATTTCTGCATACTACTGTGTGGAAATTCTGGTTGGCTTTGTTATTCCTAGAGGGAATTGCTGCAAACCCGGTAGTAGAATAGTGGGGGCAAATTTCCTTAAGGTAAGTGAATTTTCACGTCAAAGCCATTTTTTTATTGTTGTAGTTATTATTGTTTCCTACCAATCTTCCTCATTAAAATGAAATTAATTTTAAATAATTTTGGTTCTTAAGATCCAAGTGCCCAAGTGCCAATTTTTTGACCATTAAATTTATATTTTAATTTAATAGTCAATATGACAAATGCATGTGTAATTTTGAAGTTTCCCTCCAAAATTTCCTACAATCCAAATTGAATTGAATAGGTGTGCACTTGATTATAAACCTTTTCCATTCTTCACATACTTTCAACGTGGGATTCATCACTAACTACAACTATTTAACTACTTCCAACACTTATGTGCCTACTTTACTTTGAAACTTTAGGTTCTTCACAAGTAGTTGCTATTTAATTGAAAATAAACATGAAGAATGTCAGTAGTAACTCGGCATATCACCATTCAGTAAAAAGATGCATCAACCTTATTGCATTTGAAACATGAAAACATATTGACACTACAAAAATACATGACACCAAGTTTAGCGTGTAATGGAAGTCAAACCATATTGTGTAAATACATTATTGAATTCATATTTAGTATTTTCCCATTTAACTAAAGACATTTGTATCTACATAATTCTTATGCTAGAATCATTCTAATTAATTCAGGTCAAAATATATTAATTGTTCTAAGGATTAAATAGAAACTTACTGCTTAGGTTACAGGAGCTTCGGAAGTCATCCTCCATTTTGCCACCAAGAAAAAATTTCCTCCCTTCTATCTGGTAGACCTAGTGCGAGTAGTGTTAGGAATTTTGCTCTTTTTTCCCCCTCTTACACAAGTTTCTTTTATGTTAGAAGTAACTAGTTTTTAATTGTTTTTATTTACTTAGTGTAATGCCTAAGTTAAGAGTGAGTTCTTTAATCAAATTCTTTTTATTACTTCAGCGATAACCCAGTAATGTACCCTTTAGGGCATTCTACAATAACAAACAAGGAGAAAACACCATGAAACTCTATACATGGTGAGAGAACGTTTTTGATAGGTGAGAGAAGTTGTAATTTTTTGGGCTTGGGATTTCTAATTTTTTTATGGAGTTTTTTTTCTCATAATAAAACTATTAGATTTTTTCCTCCATGGACGTAGCATTAGTAATTAAGCCAAGGAAATCAACTTTCAAGCTTTTAATGTTGTGATTTGTTTCTCACTAAATTGTTAGGTTCATAACTTCTCAATTCCACATTTTTCCCAACAATATAATCATTAAAATAATCAAATACTCAACACCAAAATATATCACTTTGATTTAAAAGCAATGAAAACAAATCCTAGTCATTCATTTGAAAATGAACACCTAAATTATATATTGTGTGACTATTGCCCTAAATAGTCTGTTTCCCTGTTCCTCATGATGGTGAAACTATTTTCATGGCTTCTAATTATTCTTGGCACAAAGTAGCTAATTACCAATTTCTTTGTAGCTATGACCAGTGATGTTTTTGTCATTTTCTATTTTATGGAATGACATATATGTTGATTCTAGGCCATGTTTCTTAATTTGCTTCAGGGACAAGCAATTTTGTGATAGTGTAACTGATATCAATTTGGGGCCAAGCTGCGGAAGAATTTTAGGGATCAGTTTTGACCCTATAACCGGATATATCTCTACATGGCAGATACATTCTTTGGTTTTTGCTGTGGTAGGTCCTAATGGTGGAAAAGCCAAAATCATTGCTAACGGTGCAAATGGTGTCCGATTTAATCAATCCTATTACAAGAGAGGTCATTTTGACAGATGCTAGCCAAACATGTGACATAAGGTGAGTTTCTAAATATTTATGCCAACTTGCAGTAGAGGTTCCTAAACTGAGTAATAAGGATTTTGACAAAACTGAGCAATTCTCTATCAAAACAAATAATATAATCAGTTTTCAAGACCCAACTGAGGTAGTAGGGACATTAATTAGCTAGGTAAATATAATATCCACAATTCAACTCTCAAATTCTCCATTTCTTTTCTCCCTTAAAAGGTCTAGAGTCTATTTAGAACTAAGGGAAAAAAAGGTATATATTTTACAACCCCTACTTCAAAATTCCCATCCACCCCCCCCTTAAACTCGAAAATTTTAACTAGAAAAAATCACATTCCCAATATGTATTGTGTTTTTTTTTTGGTAAGGATTGTAATAGTCTGTTAAATGTGAAGCTATTGCTTCCTGGAAAAGTTTCATCTTTTCCCTTCTCGTTGACAAGATTATTGTAATTTCAAAACATCACCTATTGGTAACTTTTTCAGCTGGATTTTGGTTCACTTACGTTAGTATTTACCCAATCATGAGAACGAGTCCTATTGTTTCCTTTTTCCTTGACATTTTTATATGCTTAAAGCTTAAGAGATACTAATGCTGACCTTGACAACCTCCCTTTCATAGTCCTCAAATCATCTTGGATATTGTCAAAATCGTTACTTGGGATTGGGAACATCTAAGCACTCGTAAAGGCAATAAAAATTAAGTGGCAAATCTTGAAACTTTAGAGGCTAATAGTGAAATTTCTTAAAAATGGTAAAGACCTAGAGGAATAATTAACCCATTTACCAATCTCACAGATAATCATCCACCTGTTGTCTTTGGTATCTTGCCAATTTATTGAATGGAAAACCCTAAGAAATATGAACTATTTTATGCAGAAATGTTGCACAAGGGAATTTCACTCCTGATTCAAGTGGAAGACTAATCAAATACTCCCTCCGTCCCACTTTGATAGTCCTATTTTCCTTTTTCGTCTGTCCCAAATTGTAGTCCACTTTCCAATTGAAGAATGTAGGTATTTTTTAATTTCTCTAAAATACCTTTATTCAATGTAAGTTGTTATTACTATAAACTACCTTATTTAATATAGATTGTTAGTATTAAATATAACCTACCCCATTTAATGCATTTAGATTTTCCAAAATATATTGACATATGAAAAGCCAACTTTATTTAATGTAAGAATATTTTAGGAAAATAGCAATCTAAATTTGTTTTTTCAACAAATTTAACTACTTTTTCTTAAACTGTGTGAAAAAACTATCAAAATGGGACATAGGGAGTACAATCCTTTAACAAATGAGGTAAAGGAATTATTGGATAATCTCTCTTTCTCAAGGGATCCTGCATTTAGCCATGATGGGTCATTTGTGCTGTTTGGAGAACAAGCTAATTAAAGGATCAGAAAACATTGGCCCGAAGCAAATTAATAGAACTGATGACCTATTAAACTTAGCAGCAAACAACAACATTTTATCTAAGTATAGAAAACACTTATCTCTTAAAATGAGAGCTTCTCTCTCTAGTGGAGTTTTCCTCCTCAGTGTAGGAGTAAAAAGTGTTTTGAACTTTAAACTTTTGAAATAGGGAAACTGGGGGGAACAAAAAGTGAAGGAAACAAATCCAAAACCATTAGCTTGTGAGCACTGATGAACTTGAGCAATCTTGCAACCACAAAACAAATCATACCAATCCATCCATGAAAAAATACAAGGAGCTGTCGGTAGTGGGCCTGAAGAGGAAAGGCGTTAACTCTGTCCGGAATAGGGGAGCAATGGCCAGGGGAAGCTCAACCGCTAGTAAGAGGAAAGTAAATAAATTTCTGCTTGTTCTCATATTTTAGGGCATCCTGTGGAGGTAACATTTATTATTTTTAAACAACAGTAAAACCAATAGGAAACCTCTTCGTGAAATCTTTATGCTGTCGGAAATAAATAACTCTGTTTTATATCATCTTGTCTGTGTGCTTGTCTTGCTGCTTTTTGGAAACTAATACCTGTAGGGTGCTGAAAATAAGGTAGCCATCATTCCGTGTCTCCGCAGGTTTACATCGAGCAAGCATTCAGCTATAGTGACTGTAAAGGGAAACCTTGCAACGTGATTCATGGCTAACTCACTGCACAGAGCTTTTCAAAAGTTTGACCTGGGGGAAAAGGAAATAGAAGCAGTAGATTTGAGTTGGGGGGATGTTGAGGTAGGCATGGAGGAATGCAGACTCAGTTTAGTGGAAAGGATTATAGGCGAAAAGATTGCAAATTTCACAGGAGTGAAGAATTTCACTAACCATGTTTAGGGATATCCAAGGAACATGAGGGTGACGGAACTAGGCCCAAATGTTTTTCAGTTTAATTTTGAAGAGGAAAAGGATAAGGAAAGAGCGTTAAATGGAAGACCTTTGGTGCTAGATAACCAGCTCCTAGTAATAAAACCATGGAGTGAGGGCATTGAAAGAGATCCTGAGAGGTTTACTATCTCACATATGTGGATACAGGTGTGGCAACTCCCAATCCACTGGTTGTGTAGAGCAGCGGGATTTAAAATTGGGGAAGTCTTCCAATCAGTCAAGGAGGTGATCTTCCCAGCAGGGGGTGGAAAAGAAGGGAAACATATGAAACTTCTGGCAGAAGTAGATATCTCCCAACCCTTTATTAGAGGAATGCCGGTCAAATACAATGGAGTGGAAGTGTGGGCAGAATTTAAATATGAGCGGTGTCCGGATTTCTGCTATAGATGTGGAGTGATTGGTCACAGTGATAAATCATGTTCTTATGAGGAGCAGAATAGAATAACACTGAGGGATGGACAATATGGGGCGTGGTTGAAAGCTGGGAATATAATGTCCTCTCCAATGAGAAATGCAGGGGGAGAAAAAAATACCAGATAGGGGATCACAAGCCCAATTAAAAGGGTTGGTAGTGATGAATGAGAGAGCTGGAGGGAGTGGGGAAGAAAAGAAATCGAAAGAAAAAGGACAACCTCAGGAAACTAATGGACAGGAGAAAGGAACAAATAGAACGGGGGAAAAAAGGAATATAGAGGACAAACAGGAGGAAAAGAGGGATATGGTGCAGGAGGGGAAATTGAAGGAGAAGGAAAATGGGGGGGAGAAGGGAAAAGAAAAGGAGAGACAACTGACCTTCAAGCAAAATATGAACCAACAGGAAAATGAGGGTGAAAAAGAAATTGAGAATATACATGCAATGTGGATAGATGTGAGTGAAAGAGAGGGAGGGGAAGGGATGGAAATCTGGCCGAGATGTGAGAAGGGGGAGGGGAGTAGTGCAGGAGGAAGAGAAAAGGAGACTGGGCAGGAGGGGGATCAAAAGGAGAATGTGAAGATTGGACGAAAGAGTAGATATTCTAGAGGAGGTATAAGCGGGAGGAGAGTTCCTTTGACAGAGATTAGGATACAAAATGAGCAACCAAGGTTAAAGGAAAAAAGGACATCTATGCTGAGGGATGAACCAGATGAAATGCTTGTGGACTCAGATACCATGGAGCAAGGAAGGACAAAATTACAAAAGAAAGAGGTGCAGATGGAAACATTACTGAGGGTGACGGAGGCAATCCCTGAAGGGCCTCCACAGTGTAAATGAAGGTAGGGGTGTGGAACTGTCGAGGCGCAGGGAGCTCCTTGACAGTTCCCCAACTTAAGGAGGTACTACACCTCCACTCTCCGGAAGTTTTATTTTTATGTGAAACAAAAAACCAAAAAGAGTTTATGGAAAAGGTAAAACAGAAGCTGAAATTTGATGAAAGTACAATTGTAGATTCAGCAGGAAGAGTTGGGGGCTTGACATTGTTTTGGAAACATTGGATCAAAGTAATAGAAGTAGAGCTCGTTGGCTTCTATATCACAGCTCGTATGATGGACATGGAGGCAAGGTGTGAATGGACTTTTGTGGGAATATATGCTAGCACAGATGATAGGATGAGAAGAAGTCAGTGGAGAGAGTTAGAAAGTAAGATGAATCAGTGGGGTGAGAAGTGGATCATAGCAGGAGACTTTAATGACATCTTGGCAAAGGGAGAGAAGTGGGGGGGAAGACAAAGAACAGAAGGGAGTTTTGCAGATTTCAGGGGACTAGTGAGTAGGAATAATTTGGTAGACATAGGATATGAAGGGAAACCTTGGACATGGAGCTCGCATTGGGATGGTCAGGAGATTAAACAAAGATTAGATGGAGCACTAGCAAATCAGGAATGGGCCAAAAAGTTTGAGACAACAAAGTGCTTACATATAGAAAAGAAAGCATCTGACCACAGCTTGATTATGATTGACACAATGCCAAAGAAAAGGAAAGGAGGGAGCAGGTTTCATTTTGATAAGAGATGGGCTCACAATCACCAAATACAGGACGAAATTGATAGAGCATGGGCAACACCCCAAAAAGGATCCAAGATGTTTAGTCTGACCAGAAAAATAAAGTACTGCAAAACAAGATTGATAGAATACAGTAAGAAAAACAAGACAAACTTTGGAATGAGATAAAAAGCTTGAAGCAAAAGATCCTGGAGGCAAAAAAAGGGAAGTACGAGAAGAACAAGGGGGTAGTTGCGGAGCTGAAGTTGAAGCTAAGTCAAGCTTACAAACAAGAGGAGATATACTGGGCTCAAAAGGCAAGATGTAGGTGGTTGAGAGAGGGTGACAAAAATACAGCTTTTTTCCATGCAAGGGTGAGAACTAGGAGACAAAGGAATAGAATTTCATGCCTGCAAAAGGAAGATGGGAACTGGTGTGAGACTGAAAAGGAGATAGAGGAGGAAATTTGTAACTTTTACAAGGCAATTTACACATCTTCTCAACCGGATAACTTTGATGCAGTTACTGAAGGAGTCCCTTGTACAGTCACAATGGCGATGAATGACATGCTGATTAAACCAGTGGAGGAAAAGGAAGTGAAGACTGCATTATTCTCTATGCACCTGGATAAAGCCCCAGGACCTGATGGTATGTCCCATTTTTTCTTTCAAAGATACTGGAATACATGCAAGACTGACATTGTGATGGCTATCCAAAGCTTTCTTGTTGGGGGCTATTTACTAAAGGCTTTGAATGAAACAATAGTGACATTGATTCCTAAAGTAGAAGCCCCCATAAACCTGTCTCAGTATAGGCCTATATCTTTATGTAATGTCATTTATAGAGTCATCGCAAAGGTGTTGGCAAACAGGCTAAAAAGAGTCATCCCAAAGTGCATTAGTTTTGCTCATTTTGCTTTTGTCCCCGGTAGACACATTCTTGATAATGTTATTTTAGCACAGGAGCTATTTCATTTTATGAAAAATAAGAGAACAAGCAGAAATGGTTTTATGACCCTAAAACTGGATTTATCAAAGGCCTATGATCGAGTAGAGTGGAAGTTTTTATGGAGGATGATGATGAAGATGGGGTTCTGTCCCACATGGATAAAATGGATCCTTAACTGTGCAACCACAGCAGCTTACTCTTTTAATGTCAATGGCCAGAAGGTGGGATATGTTAAGCCATCCAGGGGCATTAGACAAGGGGATCCCCTTTCCCCATACTTGTTCCTTATTTGTACTGAGGGCCTGTCAAACTTGATGAACCAAAAACTCCAAAGCAAAAATCTAACAGGAGTCAAAGTGGGGAGAAATTGTCCTCAACTGTCTCATTTATTGTTTGCTGATGACTCACTCTTTTGTTGTAAAGCTAGCATACAGGAAGCAAAACACATGAAAGGGATGTTTGCTACTTACGAAAGAGCTTCAGGTCAAGCCATCAACTATGAGAAGTCTACAATTTTCTTTAGTGCAAACACAAACAAAGAACTGAGAAAGGATATATGTGCTGAGATGGGATATATGAAGGAGGCTATAAGTGATAAATACTTGGGATTACCTATGCTGATAAGTAGATCAAAGCAACAAGTTTTTGGATATATCAAGCATAAGGTGCAAGAAAAGCTACAAGGATGGAAAAGAAATCTGTTAAGTCATGCAGGAAAGGAGGTTCTGATCAAGTCGGTGGCCATGGCACTTCCCACCTATACCATGTCATGCTTAAAGCTTCCAAAAGTGCTGTGTAAGGATATAAGTAAGATGATAGCTACGTTCTGGTGGGGAGGTGGAGAGCAGGGAAGAAAAATGCATTGGACTAGCTGGAACAAGATATCGTAGGTGAAGGGTAGGGGGGATTGGGTTTTAGAGATCTGGAAAGGTTCAATGAAGCTCTCTTAGCCAAGCAACTGTGGAGAATACTCAATAATCCAGACTTGCTTGTGAGCAAGGTCATGAAGGCAAAGTATCTAGCACAACCACAGAACTGGGATAGAGACACCCCTAGAGCAGCTTCTTGGACATGGAAAAGCATCTTTGGAACAAGGCTTTTGGTAAAAAGAGGGACAAGGAAGAGGGTGGGAAATGGGTAAACAGTGGACATTTGGAAGGATAATTGGATACACGGGACTGAGGAGGGAAGGATTAAAACACAAAGAGATCCAAACTGCACATTAGAGAAAGTAGAGGAACTGATAGCAGATGGAGAGTGGAATCAGGAAGTGCTGAATCGTTGGTTTATAGCAGAGGATGTCCAAAGGATCAAGGCTATTCCACTTAGTATAACAGGCTGCCAGGATAGATTGTATTGGCGATACACTAAATCAGGTGTATTTACAGTAAAATCTGCCTATGATGCGGCAATGGAAACAAGACAGTATCAACACATGAAAAGGCTGAGGAGAGATAGTGGAAGTATGAGCTATGATCAACAGAACTCAAGAATCTGGAAAAGTGTGTGGACACTAAAGCTGAAACACAAACTGAAGCACTTCATATGGAGGTGCCTACATCACAGTCTGCCAGTGAATGAACAAATACAGAAGAGAACTGGTAAAGGAAGTCCAATGTGTCGCAGCTGTGGGGAAGAGGTGGAAACACTAGAACACATGTTCTTTTGTGACATTGCGGAAACCACATGGAAACTAGCACCTCTGCAGTGGGATGGATTGAGGGAGATGCGAGGAAATTTTGTCAAATGGTGGGAAGGGATGTTAGGAGCAAAAAAAAGAGAACAAGGACAAGAACACATAGCATTAACTGTAAATATTCTTTGGCAAATATGGAAGGCAAGAAACAGGAAAGCCTTTGAGGAAAAAGAAGCAGACCCAAGGAAAGCAGTGCAGAAGGCTATAGTAGAATGTGATGAATATATAGAGGCCCAAAAAGATATAGCTGGAGAGTTCATTCAACAAATAACAAACTCTTGCAAAGCAGAGAAATGGAGACCACCACCAAATAACTCCATAAGGATAAATTCTGATGCTGCATTCTCACAGAACATGGAAAGAACAGGAATAGGAGTTGTGGCCAGAAACGCGAGAGGAGAGCTACTGAAGGCATGGGCAAGATTTGAACTCAAGAATAGCGAGCCACAAGTGAAGGAAGCTACAGCAATCAGGATGGGAATGCAAATGGCCTGGGAGGCAAACTGGAAGACAGCAGAATTCCAATCGGACTGTAAAGAGGTGGTGGACATGATCAACAAGGAAGAAAAGCAGCAATCCAGGGTAGCTATCATCCTTGAGGACATTGCAAATATAAGGTGTTTGTTTGAACAATGTACTTTCTCTTTTGTTCATAGAACGGGGAACGTTTGTGCACATAGCTTAGTAAAGTTTGCAATTAAGCTAACAAAACCTGTTGAATGGAAAGTGTGTTTTCCCATGTGGCTCTATGAGAGAGCACAAAATGAATACAAAGGAAGTAACTCTGATGTATCTAACTCTTGTAGTATCAAGTTATGAAATGAAATGCAATTATGATGTTTGACCAAAAAAAAAATTAAACTTAGCAGCAGGTCCAATCAAAATCAAGAGGGCCACAATATTTGGAGAATTTTGGGCGGCAGCTAACAACAGTATCCCACAAGCACGCTCTATTACACCTTTTGGGTACAAATTTAATCTATTTGGTTAAGTATTGCTGGTAAAGAATCTGCAAGGGCAATATAACAACACCTAAGTGAATGTGTTCTAGGGTTGCATCGTATGTTGGTGTCTTTAGAAAATGGTAAGCTGCCATTTCATTGACATTGGTAGCTCGATGGAGTATATTATATGATACTAGAAATAAGATGCATTATTGCACCTTGTAACATTTTTATCTTATTGTCATTGTATAATAGAATAGTGAATTATATTATACGATGCAAGAAATAAGATGCGTTATTGCGCCTTGTAATGTTTTCATCTTAATGTTGTTGTATAAATAAAAAGGTGCATCATATCACACGACGCTAGAAATAAGATGTGTTATTGCACCTTGTAGCATTTTCATCTTAATGTTGTTGGATAAATAAAAAGGTGCATTATATCATATAATGCTAGAAATAAGATGTGTTATTGCAACATTTTCATCTTAATGTTGTTGTATGATAGAAAAGAAGATTATATTATAGGGTATATTAGAAATAAGATGTATTACTGAGCCTTATAACATTTTCATCCTGATGTTTTGGTCTAACAGAAGAGTGCATTATATATATATATATATATATATATATATATATATATGTATATATATATGTATATGTATGTTATTGGCAGATCTCGTACACAAGGATGAAAAGTGCACC